CAGACGAAGTTAAGGGTGCTTCTTTTCGTCCAAAATTTATACTTAATTTTCGCACAATTCTGCAACATTACCAACAACATTCAAACGTACATACAACCATATTCGTTCAGTGGAAGGAAAAACTGTTGTCTTAAAATCAGAAATGTGTTTACGAAATAAGCACTAGTTATAAAATAAATTATTATATGCCGGGACCTGTAGGTACTCTTTTGACTATGTATATATCATGGAGGTGGGTACCACTTCCTACGGCAGAACATATTAAAGTTGGCCAAAAATATGAGCAGTCACCAGATGAATTTTAGTACAAGAACTTATTATTGGCTATTATCTCGAGGACAAAATAATGGGAAAACCCCGAACTCCGGTATTTTGTCAATTTAAGCGACATTTGCTAATGGAATTGTTTCCTATTCGATATTGAGAGTGGCAAAACATTGTCTTGAAATATCCACCTTTCCCTATAGTCCCCATATGATGGTACCTCCAGGTATTCAGTATTGTGAAGATTAAAGCCACATTTTTCAAATTTGATTATTGATGTTCACAATAGATACCAACCACTGTAGCAAACAATTGACTACATAGGCTCACCATTTTCTATAGCCCCCAGATAACGGTACCTCCCGATATTTGGGTTTATTTCGATTTTAACCACCCTTTCTAATGGATTCGTTTAAAATTCTATATTTATATTCTGTAATGGGGTTCATGTGCAATAACGAAACACTGCCAATATACCTCCACGTTTTCCTATATCCCCCATATAACGGAATCGTCCGATATCGGAAATGTTCATGACTTTTTCCACATTTTCAACATAACTGTTTCAAATTTGGTACTTGAAACTCATAATATATGCAAATTCCTTTAAAAAAATTGTCTATGTAGGTTCAAAGTTTAGTACATCATTTAACATTACCGACCTTTTATAATATTTAAAGTTTTTAACAAATACTGCCAAAGTCGATCATACAAGTTCAACAATTCATCGGTGTGTTTTCTGACTAAGCTTTCCGTATAAGCAAAATACGTGAGCGACAATTTAATGGAGCCAGGCTTACTACATCCCACGAAAGCTTGCTTATAACATTTGAAGAGACCGATGTTTTAAATATTTAAAAAATTGATTATGATCAATATTATCAATAATATATTATTTTAGACAAAAATAGCCAATTAAGTCGATGTGGCGATGTCCGTCTGTCCGTCTGCATGTCTGTTTTAATCACGCTATCTTTCGAAAATATTGAGATAGAAGTCCAAAATTTTGCACACAAGTGTATTTTGTCAATAGGTAGGTTATGTTCGTAAATGGACCATGTCTTCTAACTGATTTATTTGTTATCAATTCCCATCAAAAATTAGTACAACGAGGCACTTGGTTTTGACTATTTTTGACAACGGTCGTGACACTGTACGTCGGTGAACCAATATTATATAATTATTTTCGAAATAGATTTCAAAAACCTGAAATATGGCAGAAACATGCACAATGATGAGTGTCAGGTAATAGATGTATATGAGAGTTATACCTAATGTGGGAATGATACACAACCTTCAATACCAATATTGGAAAGCATGAAGCCGAACTCTGTGTTCTGAATCATGAGGCGAATAATACCAAATACCCTTCAGCATGGTGATATTTACATATAGGGTGAAATTAAAAAAAAAGTGCAACCAACTTCAGTCAGCTGTCATTTCTAAGCCACTCGTCCGACAGCTGTTAAAATTATTCTAGTGACAGCTCATTGTATTGTTTACAAGCATACAAAAGCATTTTGGTGTGAATTTTCTAGAAAAAAGTTATTCGTGATGGAATTCAAGCGTGATAGCTTGATTTCTTTATATTTGACTGAAAAACCACAAGTGGCTATCGTTAGAGCACTCCAGCATTTAAATGTGAATAAATCTTTTGTTTCTCGTACCATCGCTCGTTACCGTGGTACTGGTAGCGTAGCCCGACGTCAAGGAAGTGGACGATAGAAAACAGCAACATCGGCAGAAATGGTTCGAAAAATAAAGAAGCGACTTGATCCTAACCCGCGTCGCAGTGGCCGAAAAATGGCTCGTGAGCTGAACATATCGCAGTATTCCATTCGGCAAATATTGAAAAATGAGCCCGGGGTAAAGCCATTGAAATTCCAAAAAGTGCAAGAACTTACACCGCAAAAGAAAGAAAATAGACTCAAAAGAGCTAAAGAGTTGCTTCGCTTGGCCGAAATTGGTGAACTGCCGATTTTGGTTTTTTCCTATGAGAAAACATTCGTTGGGCAGCAGTTTGTAAACAAACCAGAACACCAGAACTCCGGATAACACTCCATTGGACTATTGTGCCTGGAGTATTTTGAAAGGCAAGAATGACACTAAAAAATACCAAAGTGTCGATCACCTCAATCAAGCGCGTCGCCGGGAATGGGCCAGAACACCGCGGCCAGCTTGTGACGGTTTCATTGGGCGTTTGAAGGCCATAATTCGTGCCAAAAATGAAAAATCTAAACTTATTCTAAAATTTGATGCTATTTCCAACATTTTTTGCTTTCATTCAAAAAATTAAAAAAATGTAAAAATTATGGTGCTTGACTTTGTTGCAGTTTTTTTTTTATCTCAATCTCAATTTGGTCGTATGTGCCAATAAAACAATAAAATGCAAATCGGATGAAGATATATATTGGGTCTATATCTATTTTTTTCCGATTATTTTCAATTTCTATAGGATTCGTCCTTGGGTCAAACAAATATCTTGTGCAAAATGTTATCTGGATCGGACAATAAATGCAACCTGTACTTTGTTTACAAAAATGCATGGACAAGCTGACGGACGGACATGCATAAATCGATTCATAGTGTGTTTCTATGCAGATCATCAAAAAGAACTATAAATCTATCTCGTTTGCTTTTGCCTGTTACAAACAAATGCACAAAGACATAGTACCGTGATCACCTTGTGGTGTAGGGTATAGTAAATGTATCCTCTATCTATTGATGAAAATTTGTTGCTGTCTCTTTTAAACTTCACTCTATAAGGGAGGTTTCAACCAACCTACGGAAATTTGAAAATGCCAATTCAAAGGGAAAGTCAAACCAAGTCTACTTGTTTCTATAAGTGTATCTGAAATGTCGTCCATCGGACTGTATTTGCCACGCTGTTCCCGACATCCCGGAACGTTCCTAAGCACTTTTTTCATTAGCGTGTAATAATTTAACCCTATGGCATGTTCTTTTGGCGCCAATTTCGTTAGATATCTTAATTGTTTGGCATTACAAATTTTCATGCCACTTAGTTTACCCAGATTTCAATTTATGTTGTTGCTGCTTCTAGAGATTTCAGGCAGATTTTTAATTTGTTTCCCCTACAAATTGTTGTTGCCAAATTGTTCGTGTCAACTACATATATTTGTGCAACTATATACATATATGTGTGTGTGTGTGAATAACAGAAAATAAGCAAAAACCGACACCTGCGATCGCATCGCTGATTATCACGCCGTGTCTGTGCCACTGTTACCATACAAATGTGGTCGAAATACGGGGTTGGGAGGAGGTGTTTGCTCGGTATCCACTTAACATAATACAAGTTGTGTCGGTCGGTGCACATTGTGCGGTCGTTAAGAATAAAATTAAGAGTCAAGTGTGCAGTGGCATAGATTTGCTCTGTAAAGGGACACACTCACCCAATGTTAAGCTTCGTGGCGTCTTCGGTTGGCGGTCGTTCGGTTTCGTAGTTCATTCACTGTCACAATACCAGGCGCTGCTAGTACACATTTATAGATCTTGCTAGCTTCATTCATGTTGTGGTTTGTTGCATGTCATGTTAATGGGACTTTTGCAACGTAGCGGGGCTAAGGACGAGTGATAGGCAGGTAAATGGGGGGAGGGCAGACTAATGTAAAGACATTTTTGTAGTTCAGCTATGCAAGAACATTGTTGTGTGCATTGGCATGTCTGGGGATATTTGTGTGGTTAAAATAAAATAAAAACAAACACTCAACCTCACAGATATTTGTATACAATACCCACACACCTCAAATATCCATACGTATGTATGTGGAATTTAGAACTCCTGTAGTAAATATGTGTCGGTGTGTAACGTATGGTTTTGCGTGCAATTCGTAATTTTCTACAAACAAATGTAATATGGGTCGCAACAGGGAAACCTTGATACCGCTTATTCCCTATAACCAACCAACCAACTGACTAACTCACACATACATGCACGTGGAAACACGGAAAAGTTAAACTGCACACCAATTCAAATGAATGGTAGGGAAAAGACCCCTTTAATTTATTATTAAAATTTGGCCCACTTCCTTGAGGGTCTCCAGTCTACACGAAAACCACCGAAACAACAACAAACCACGTAGGCTTTGGGAAATCTGAGAAAACGTGTCACACGGTTACACATTTTAATGCCGTAAAGTGGCAATTCAAAACATTGAAGACGTTGATGTATTGGTGTTGTCGTCGGTTGGTGGCGGTGTCAACACAATCGAAAAATACCAGCAAAAACAACACGCGACTTGTTAGAACTCGAAACTGTTTTTTTTTTTCTTTTTTTGTGACTAAAAGCAGAAAACTAAGAAAAAGCTAAACAGACGAGAAGTAAAAACAACGCAAACTACTCCACTTTTTTTGTATTTCACTACAATGAATCATACTCTGTTTTGGAAGTCCTTTCAAGTTTGTTACCTTTTTGCGAGCAATTTTTGCTCAAACATTTTAGTTGCTTTTCAGATTTTCAAAAACCTTTTCTCATTCTCACCAATCAAGTTGCTAAAATTTCACTTAATATTATTTTTAATTAGAGCCTTGGCACACATATCTCTCACAAATTATTTTTAGCCTTTTTACAATAAAAGTTTAGCAAAAAAAAAACACACACAAAAATAAGAAAGAACACAAAAAAAATGCACAACACTTGTACGAAAGAAAAAAAAAACATATATTCAATTATTTCTAATTTGAAATTAAATATTCATAAAACTTATTAGCATTACTTTTTCAGATTCGATGTCCGTTGCCAGTAATTTTAGGCAAGGTGGTGACCACAGGGACGACGATGTTTCTGCTCGTGGAGTTGTTCCTTTTCACTTTCAGTTAGGGAGTTCGTACTTTTCACACACTTTACATAACCGCCCGAAGCTTGGCATTCGAATAGCTTGCTTCTTCTCCCTTTGTATTTTTCTAGTATATTTTTGAAACACTTTTTTCACTTGATATTTTCAAATATAATTTGTTGTTGGCTTCCTTATTCGAAATTTGCAACTTCTTTCTTCGATTTCCGTTGGAAGTATTGTCTTCCCTTTTCGCTTCGTTTTTTTTCGATTTTTAACAATAAATAATAATTTTCTTTGCCCTTACTGATTCTAGTATAGAAATCAGTTGAATTTTTAAAATATATATGCTATATGCTGCTCAACATATATAATAATTCTTTTTTATATTTTTTCTTCTTCTCCTCTGTTTCGTTTTTCGATTTGTTGGTTTATCCGTTTTGAAGTGTTGTTGAATTGCAAACCCGTCCCGAACTGAAAAGAAAAATGACCAAGTTTTTCTTTTCATACAGTGCAGTACGCATTTTTGGTAAATTTTTGCTGCAAATTTGAAGGCTTTTTCGGAATCAGTCCGAATAAAATACCCTTCAAAGCTTTTGCATCGTTCAAGTGAAGAGCTTTGAGCTTTCGGCCGTCTGTTTCTCCCAACAAATGTTGGGAGGAAATATTTTGTTTTGGGATATTCCTTGGCAAACATGTGCCGTCATAGTGCCGCATTGTATCACTAGAAAGCAAACAAACCGAAACCGAGGGGTAAACAGATAATCAAAACATAAACAGGAATAAGTGAAAAATTCTCAATTCGAATAGAGAGAGAAAGAGAAAGGCCAAGAGAGCCACGTAAAAATGATTTTAATTAGAAATCAACATTGACAACGAGTGCGGATGGCATCTACAAGAATGTAGAAGAAAAAATGGATAGGCAATGAAATTTCAAAATAAAGCTCATCAACAAAACAAGTCATATATGTTTATATTTTGCCGCTCGACAAAAGCGTAAATGATAAAAAGACATGAAAACACTTAAGGCTACAGGGTCTGCAAATCGACTATTTGTTCACTAGAATTTGATAATGCTCTGATTTTTCTGTTTCTCTAAGTCTCAGAAAAGCCTGCAGCAGCATGCATAGCTGTAATCCGAGAATTGTCAATCAAATGTAGAACATCTATATCTGAGTTTTACATATATCTCCACAAGAAATTTTGCAAACAAAATGTAGTTCACAATGACGTCATTTAACTTTCTTTGTTCCGTTTTCATTGGAGTCGGTTGGCATATTTATGGCAGTATGTGCGCTTGTGTGTGATGTTTGCTTTGTTGACAACATTGTTCGGCATGTCTGTTAGTACGTTGAACTAGAACTAGCAACAGAATGCAAGCGCTTAAAAGCTTTTTCTGCTTAATAACATTTTTGTTGAAAATAAACTCCATCATACCCACACAAACACACACACGCACACACACTGTGTGTATGCAACTCTCCGAAAGCTTAATGATGTCATTTTCGAACCCCTCATCACAAACACATGTCGACTTTCTCACCTACATTCCTACACAAGTTTACAAATCGTAGTAGGTGTTGTTCTCACTCCGTTGGGCTTTCATCAACGCAGAGACAATGCGATGAGATTATCACAACCTTCACTACCAACCGGTGCGTATGAGTAATCCATCCAACCATCCGTCCATGTTTGTTTGTTGTTTGTCTGATGGGACCGCAGTTCGTATGAGTAACATGGGCACCAATCATCATACCTACCGGCAAACAGGGTACGGTACAAATAAATGCAAACAAGAAATGAGCGGCAATTTCATTTTGTAATTGATATCATCGCAACACTGACGTACCGGATACGGCCGTTAGTGGTTTCACTTTAAAAGGATATAGCAACACTATGTAGTGTATATGTAAGAACAGGAATAATGAATTACATACAAATATACATAAATAGCATACACCATTACAACAACATGAAACTTATAAAAGGTAAAGTAACGTTAAAAAATTAACCCAATTTATAGAAGTTGTAATTAAGAAATTAAAAAACTCAACTGATGATCACTGAAAGCGAGAATAATTTAGTAGCGTTTTGCAAGTATATTTAACCTAAAACAAGTAAGCAAAGGCTACAGTCGAGCGGGGCCGACCGTTGAATACCCTACAACACTATAATAAACGATACAGTTTATATAGGCGAGATACTCGAAAGAATTCCACAAGATATTGTGACAAATAGAAAAAGAAAACCATCAGGTTTCGTTCTCTAATTTTCGAATAATAGCAACTTAAACTAATTTGCTCATTTCCAATTTATTGGTAGATATTGCACGTAAATGGTTTTCCTAGATCTGGAACCAATATTTCCCAAAGACTTATAATCTCTCAGAAGTGGCAGGAGATTAACATTTATTGTTGGTTTTTGACTGAACCGCATCTATATGAGATACAGACATTTGACTATATTCTTCAACGAAATCAGCGTTAACGAAATAGTCAGAATTGCGTCTTTCCTGTATTTGTGAATTCTCCAAAAAGTCACTGGAATTGACATTTTCGTATTTTGTCTACAAAAGTTGGCAAACTCCTTCACACATTGAATATTTTTGAATGGCCATCCAAAACTGCTTGGCTTTTGCAATGTCCGGTGACCCCCATTCAAATGTGCGTGAGGATTGGGCGATAATTACGACCTGCTGACAATTTTGCCGTTTTTTTGGTCCATTTCAACCCCTAAATATATGGCGATTATCTCCAAAAAGAGAAGGCTTCTATTCTGACCCTCATCTTATCCCCATGCAAAATTTCGTAAGGATCGGGTCATAAATGCGATCTGTATATGATATCCTGATATCCTAATTACTTAGTTTTGTTAGTTGTAGACATATTACCAAATGTTTAATTCAAAATGAAAATATGCCAAAAATATGACAAAATTTAAAAAAATATGAGAAAATGTTACAAAATCAATGTTTTCATCTTTAGAGAGATATTTTTATGCAACTTTTTTAGACGGTTTTTCTTTCCTGCCAAGAGGCCATTCTGAATTAATGAGAACTATCGAAATCGGTTCAGTCGTTCTTGACATATAAGAGACCTTTCAAGCATATCTTCTTTGATAGACATATATATCGCACATATTTTGCTATATATCCGATGTGTTCGATGTTAACATCAATGTAAAGCTCAGAAGTAACCTTGTCATGGCTTTGTGAGTTCGCCGGGATTTAAAATATTCGCGGTTTAATGAAAAATTTTGCATTTTTTCAACACAAAATATATGGTATATTTTACACGCTAAATATTATCCGACGGCCACCCAATTCGGTGGGCTTCTTCCCCGCCCTAAACTCTAGCTACATGCGAAATTCCGTGTCGATTGGTCTATAATTGCGACCTGTATAGCTACTGCAAAATCCGACATTTTTTCAGTATTTGGTCCATTTTAATCCCTAAACATTTGGCGATCATCTCCAAAAGAAATAGGCTTCTATTCTGACCCTAACCCCACCTTCGTGCAAAATTTCGTAAGGATCGAGCCATAATTGCGACCTGTAGCGTGATTACAAATTAACATGGACAGACGGACAGACGGACGGACGGACATACATAGCTAGATCGACTCAGCTCGGCGAGCTAGGAAGATCCATATATACTTTCCTATACGGGAAACCAATATTTCGAGGTGTTACATAAATTCTGGCCCAATCAAACTTATAATACCCCCAACACATAGTGTTGTAGGATATAATTAACTTTCATATTTAGGATTCAATATTCCGATACTGAAATTAAGCCACGTTACTGGAAAGTACGATTAAGACCCCCAACCAGTTAAAATGTACCGAATCATGAAACTTGGCAAAATGACATTTCTATTTCAAAATTACAGTCATTCTGTATGCCAAAACCACCAAAATACCGAAAATATTTACAGCCAATAAAGATTTATATTTAAGGACCTTAAGAAAACCTTAGATTGATTGCAATCATTTTATAATTTACATTTAAGATCTCAAAATATCAAATTACAGAGTCTTCTGTTAAAATTCATAAAATTGATCAGTACCATTATATTTGTCTTAGTGAAGACATCAAGAAAGTTGTGGTGTCGAAATATTTGACTCATTTGGGAGCCATTATTACTACATTACAGCTGATTTGGTTTGGATATATATCTCGGAAGTTCGCGATGACTAAAATCGACCGGTATCAATCCAAACAGGGAACTATGATGACCTTTATATAATGGGGAACTCTCAATCCCAATCATTTTAGGAGTAATGCAAGCGTATTTTTCATTAATTTATTATACCCTACAGCACTATGTGTTGGGGGTATTATAAGTTTGATTGGGCCAAAAATTATGTAACTCTCGAAATATTAGTCCCCGACATAAGAAACTATATATAGATCTTCCTATCTATGTCCGTTCGTCCGTTTGTTCATGTTAATTTCTAATCACTCTACAGGTCTCAATTATGGCCCGATCCTCCCGAAATTTAGCACGGAGGCGGGGCTGGGGTCAGAATAGAAGCCTATTTGTTTTGGAGATAAATGGAAAGTTCCTGATTTTGCAGTTGCCCTACATGTCGTAATTATAGACCAATCGACGTGGAATTTAGCATTGAATCGGAGATTAAGGCTGGTCAGAAGCCTACCATTTTGTTTGTTCATCAGGCAATATTTAGCGGTTAAAATAGACCATGTATATTTTTAATCATGGTGAAATCCCAAATGTACGAAAATGTCACTTCTCACCGTTATATTCAAGATATTGCATATATAGCAAAATATATACTCATCTCATATATCAATGAAGCGGATGCTTGTTAGACCGCTTATAACTCAAGAACGGTTGGATGGATTTTGACAATTCTCACAAATTTGGAATGGCCTCTTGCCAAAAAAGAATAAACTCTAAGAAAAACCCATGAGATTATGCTATTAAATACGTGAATATTTTTTGTCATTTTTTTATCGGAAGAGATTTTTGCATATTTAACATACAATATTGAACTTTACATTTGGTAATATTTTTTCACCTTACAACACTACGTTTTGGAAGTACTATATATTCAAGTCGCAATTATCGTCCGATTCTCAAGAAATTTTGCATGGGGATAAAATTGGTGTCATAATCAAAACCTATTGTTCTGCAAGATGTATATTGAGGAGTTCAAATTGACCAAAAATCAAAACTTTCCTGATATCGGAGTTGTTTTGGATACCTATCAGCACGACACAGAGTGTAAATATAAGAAACATATTCCCGATAAAAATCGAAAAGTAAAATTTCTTAGCAATTTTCCACTCATTTAGCATCATGGTTTCTAAGAAAACATCTTCGTATAAAATTTTACATTTTCGGAATAGGACCCATCTTAGTCTCGACCACATTCATTGATTTGGCTAACAAATTGTATTTAGGCTGTTCTGGGTTAAAGAACCATCTTACAGAAAATTGTCCACATAG